CGGGCATTCATTTCATAGTGAAACCAACCTTCATTTACAAGGTGAGTATTAGGCGATGCACAACCAAATTATTCGTTTGGTTAGCTATATTCATTTCCCTTACGGATTGATTCTAATCAGTTTATGTCATTCATAAATCTATGCAGCTTTTAAGTTTTTACGTATTTCCTTGTCCTTAAAATACAGGGACAACGGGAGGCGGTGGGGCTGCATGGGCTATAGCCCCCACACTTCTTGCTCAAAGCAACTAAATTTTTCAGCCCCCTGCCCCACTAGCATTTTGCATGGCTAGTCTATTTTATTTTTCAGTCTTAGCCCCGCCCCCTTTTTAGGGTGCTCCGCGGTCAGGCCTCGAAATAAGGACAAATTAACAAATGTCAGTTTAACAATTACAACAACAACACACAACAACAAAACGCTCTGACCAAAAGATGGACGAGAAGTACTATTCATATCTGGTTGGAATCGATAGACCCTTTTACCTTGGGCGTAACGTTTTCCCATTTCAGACTACGGTTATTCACTTGTTTGTGATGTATCCATATTCATGTGTCTTCTGATGCGCACCCGTTAAACAAAGAAATAATACTCTAGGGAATGACACGTGGTCTGAAATGGGAAACCTTTACTCCCAAGCCGAAAAGGTCTATTGCTTCAGAATTCAGTATAATCGATGCTTGCTTCTTAGCTTTGCTCCTTTTCAGTGTTAATCAAATCTAGATGTTATCCCAGTTAATAATGAATAATACATTGTGCAAATCGTATTATCTTTAAGGCTTATTGGTCAACACAGAATAAGACAGGCAAAAAAAAAAAGCTAATAGAAAATGCGATGAAAGGTTTAAAAAAACTACGCGCGAAAGGCATTGAAATTCAAGCAATGATGGAAGAGGACTGGAATTTTCTACGCGAAAAGTTGTGTTCAGAAGATCCTTTTGCTTCTGGAACTTACAAAGGCAGTGAGAGGGAGAAGTTGGATTTATTCATCCATCGTTTTTTAGAGAAGGTATTTACCAATAAGTAATCATTAATGCACTAGTTTTATTTAGCATTAAGATGTTTAATAAAATCGGTATTTATGGCCTCGTCTATTGCTACATCGGTTCCAGTATTTCACCAATACCGATTTTAATCAACAATCAAATTTTAATTGAGGTAAGTGCATTACCAATAGAGGCTTTGCACCATCACGTGTTAGTGCCCATAATACAGCTTGGACTGGCTGTGGTTAGATGGCAGAACAATTCACCATTTTCCATACATCGGTTCACTTTTCAAACACAAAGCATTCAGTCGAGTAATCCTTTGAAAGTTTCTGCCATCTAACATGGCTGCTGTCACGTAATGTTGCAAAGCCTCTATAAGTAATGATTAATACACTAGTTTTATTCTTCGAATGCACGTTACGTCATCGCTGCCATGTTGGTGCCATTTAACAAAAGATTTCTCATTAGCATCCATTGTTAATAGCACCAAGATGGCCGCCATRCTTTTGTCTTTTGACTGTCTTGGAAATGCTTGCAACCCATCAATTTAGCGTGGAAATGGAGAATATGGACTCGCGGATACACTTAATTGAAGAATCGTTGTCGGGTTCAGAAACATAGAACATAGAAGCTGAGACCGAAATKGCACATGGGAAATGACATAATTATATTATAATTTATTCATTTGCACCATCCATGCATTCGGTTTAGAATGCCAAAAGCGTATTCGAAGACCTGCGTTTGAGAGCCGTTTGCCACGGGTCGCCGGTCACAGCATGCATCTAATTAACGTACTTCCCATGTGCCATTTCGGTCTCAGCTTCTATGTTCTATGTTTCTGAACCCGACAACGATTCTTCAATTGAGTGTATATGGAATTTATCTTTGAACTTAAATTGGATTTCTTTAACCTCGATATCTCAGCGAGAGCAGTAAAAGTGCGAGATGTTGAGTTTGAGCACAAGGAGATWAATTCGTTATACGAAGAGCGCTTTTCGAATACAAATATATAACAGCTTCTTACTCATTAGCCAAATCACATCAGTGGAAATACACGTGAAAAAATTGTGGCGAAAGTTTTTAATAGAACTAAATATGTTTTATTTTTTGTGACTGTGAAACACTCACGAATTATGTCATAAGAAGCTGGTATTTATTATGAAAACGTTATGCATGGCACAAATCTGTCAAAATTAATAGTTATAAAAATTATTTGTGACCTCGAAATTCTCTCTTTTTACACCAAAAAGCAAGACGCGCGTGTTCATATTCTTACAGTGGTGAAACTTAGGAACTTTATTATGGCAGAAGGCAAACAATGCAAATCAATTTATTCTGTGACATTTGCGTGAAGGTATCCAGAATCTAGGCTTGAAAGTTTATTTCATTGCTAATGTTAATATGTAGACCTTCTTCAGTCGATTTTCTGTACCAAAAAAAAGATTTTTTTTGTGAGTTGTACTAGTAATGTTTTACCACTCTTTTCACTGCTACGTGCATGCTGATGGAGACAGTCGCAACAGGGAAATAGGSCAATACATTGCCGCCAATGAGAGAATATAAAGGTACCGACCAATTTATTTGATTGATCGAAGTGTATTGCCCAATTTCCCTGTCTCTACTGTTGTCTTGATCAGCGCATAGCAATGAAAAKAGTGGTAATCAGATCTAAAGGTGAGCACGTGCCCCATGCTATTCGGTGCAAATTCTGACACGCGACCAAAATCAACTGGGATTTTATATTCATAATCTACTTGTTTCGGTAGTATTTCCCCCTTATTATGGATCAAAGATTCACAAGTTTGGACCGAAATATCAAAAGAAAGCTATAGCACGTTAAATTATACGTTTCATAGACAATAAACTCGAGGTAATTTCTAGAAAAGTTTAAACCAAATACCCCCAGAATATTCAGTGGGTTTTGGCTTTTTAATCAAAGGAGATTGGAAGTGGCAGTGCTTCAACACCACGTGACAGTAATCCACCACCACGTGACAGTGCTCAACGATCAAGTGACAGTGCTCCACAATCAAGTGGCAGTGCTTCAACACCACGTGACAGTGCTCCACAATCAAGTGGCAGTGCTTCAACACCACGTGACAGTGCTCAACGATCAAGTGACAGTGCTCCACAATCAAGTGGCAGTGATTCAACAGCAAGTGACAGTGATCCACCACCAAGTGGCAGTGCTTCACCACCAAGTGACAGTGCTTCAACAAGTGACAGTGATTCAACAGCAAGTGGCAATGCTTCAAGAGCAAGTGGCACTGTGTCACGATCAAGTGACAATGGTTCAGGAGCAATACCAAAAGAGTATGTATCATAAGTAATGTTTACTAAACAAACGGTGGAATAGTGTATGCGGTCTCGAGTTTCTCAAATAGCTCCA